AAAGTGCTAGGCTCCGTCAGGAGGCCCTGGAGTGGCATCTGGAAGTAGTTTAGAATAGATCTTTGAAGTTAAGGATTAAATTGGTGAGTATACAGAGTTATGGAAATATGTGAAAACAAATTTACATATGAAACAAAATACCTTGCAACTTAAAAAAAATTGAGGCTTTTAAAATATGCAGATAAGTTACTATTTCTGATGAATTACAAACTGGTGGAAATAAGTCTATCCCTTTTCCCTACCCCACCTCCTCACAGTAAAGTTAGGTAGAATGTAGTCTTGAAGAGATCCCAGTGCCACCTGGTGGAGCACCTGTTGGATTTCAACTGCCTGTGGCCTAACAGCTTTCAGAGATATCTTTGCAAGGCCAGAGCTCCAGCACTGAGAAATCCAGTTCTGTTTTCTACTGAAGGCTCCGCCACTGCCAGAAGGTACCTTGGCAAATAGCAGTTGGCTTGTGTCTCCGGCAGAATTTCTAATCCCGCCTTTTCCTGCTTCTTACCTAAGGCTTGGCATCATAGAAACTTCTACCCTCCTGGGTCCCAGGAGCCCAACATGACTCAGTGACCCAGAGTCCTACAGGGCCCATTTCCCTGAAGTTCATGCTGAGAAAATTTTAAAGCCATGTTTGTGTGTGCTGTGTCCCAGTGGTTAGAATGCCACTCTGGAAATGAGCTGATCTATACCATGGCTCAGCTCAAGGTGTGCAAGAGACCTCTCTCTCTCTGCAGAAGTAACGGACTGAGGCACAAAGTCCCCTGGTGGGTTTCCAAAGTAAAACACACTTGAATGACTGTGTAAATCTTATGACATCTTAAATGAAATATAGGAAATAGAATTTCATGTGCAGGATTATCTTAACTCTGTTAAAATAAACACACATGCACACCCAACATTGTAAACAGTGCTTATTTCTTGGTGACAGAAATATGAAAGGATGTGCTTCTTCCTCGGTCATTTCTGTTTCCGTTTTGTTGTTTTGGGGGAAAGAAGTTTATTTTAGAATCTACCCAGTTTCTCTTACTTTTTTCTCTATAGCCTGAAAGTGTAGTGTTTTCACTGAATATTTAAAAAATATTTTTATTAATTATTTTTATTTTATGTATATGAGTGTATTGCCTGCATGTATGTGAGTGAACCCCTGTTGTGCAATGTCGTGGAGGTCAGAAGAGGGCTTCAGATTCCCCTGGAACTGGAGTTAGGACAGTTCATAGCTGCCATGTAGGTCCTGGGAATTGAACCCAGGTCCTTTGCAAGAGCAGTCGGTGCTCTTAACCTCTGAGCCATCTCTCTAGCCCCCTTCACGGAATATTTTTTGATAGCTGTTTTTTAGAATGATCACTGCTCCCAGAAGCAAGGTGTTTCATTAGACTAAGTATACCCAGGGTAAATTAAAGATGCCTGACACAATTAAGGAAAAAGACCATGGAACTGTACTGACACACGATTAAGAAAAAGGACCATGGGAACTGAATTGTCAGAAGCAGCAATCTTATTGAGTACATAACATCAAAGTGATATATCTTCATTTAGATTTTTAGCTTTTTAAAACCAATATCATTATTCCAATATCAGTGTATATAGGTATTGTAAGCCACAATGAAAGTGTAAATAATAATATAAATATAATACATAAGAAAGAGGAAAGAAATATCATACCTAACTCCATCATCTAAGAAAAAATGAACAGTTTTACTATTTGAGTTTATGCATTTCGGATCTATTTTTCCTTATATTTATACATTTACTTACATATGTCGAATAGAAAGCAAAAGAAACCTGAGGTCTAAAGATATGTGTCCAAGACTAGAAAGCAGTGTGCCATGGAGAAAATTGGCATTTTCTTCATCATCTTCAGGCTTAGGCACACTCAGACAAGTCGAGTTTTAGGACAGTCTCTCATACAGAGTCGCACAGGGCCCATTTCCTTGAAGTTCATGTTGAGAAAGGTTTAAAGCCATGTTTATGTGTGTTGTGTCCCGGTGGTTGGAATGCCACTTTATCCCCCTAATGATGGGGCTGAATTTTCCAGAAGAGTGTGAACAGACATCCATCTAACTATTCTGGATTTCAGTTCTTTTCACTGGCTCTGCTAGCAAAAAGTTATGGATATGCTGTCCACCTTCCATTTTTGTCTCCTTTGGACCTTTTCCTTCTTAGCCAGAATCTGGCATGGGGACTTTTGGATGCCAGGAAAAATGGTCAAAATTTCACAATGATTGTAGCTCATGATGCAAATGTCCTCGAATGTAACACAAAACTCTTGGATGTCCCCACAGACCCGACATTTTGTTGACCTCTTCTATATTGCAGCACACAGAAAAATCATCCTGATTTCCAAAGTTTCTCTCTCACAAGTTAGGGACTCTTGAAAAATTTCTCTCCCAACAGCCCTGTTCACACATGATTTCCTTTGTCTCTATCTCCCCCGATATCCCTCATTGCTTCCTGTCCAGCCAAGAGCAAGCTCGGCCTTCCCCAGGCCAACTTGAGGCAGTTCAGTTTCTGTTCCTTCCTTGAGGATTTGTTTTGTCACTAATTAGCCTTAGCTACAAGTGCTTACATTTTGATATTAAAAGAAAAAGAAAAAACAGAAAACATATGGAAGAAATAAAAATGTTCTATTTATGGTTCTTCTG